TGAGGCGTGACGAAATGTTCCTCTCTGAACGTTTCCTCGACTGGCAGATCTATGAGTCTCGGAGACGAAATACTACTAGGATTCGTAGTATTTCCCTCGTCTCTCTCTGCCACTTCGTCCATTTCATAAACTTCCGAAGTTTCTTCCGAGATATTGAATGTCGCCGTGTCCTCCGTTGGGGTGGGAGATCTGGACTCGTTCAGATTTCTTTCTTCTGGTGTCTTAAGAGCCGACACCGCAGCGGCAATAGCGGTGGAGATCCCTCCAATGTTGCCGTTAGCATTGCTGCGTTGCTGCTCTCTATGCCGCTTCTCGCAGCGTCTGATGTGCTGGTACAGCACAACGCTCACACGTCGCAGGAAATCGTCGTAGTTAGGTTGCGCGATCGAGGAGACAGAGCTGGGAGGCGCTAGACTCGTGCTGCCCACTACGCGGTCGTCAGGCTTGCGGTACCGTAGCGAGCTTGTCTCGCTCAGTCTGGGGGTGAATACGGTGTGTGTGGGCTGGAACACAGGCTGGAAGCGCACATGCTTGCCTTCGTCTCTGCCGGAGACACCGGGCGGCGTCTCTTCCTCCACGGAGCTCGGCAGCAGTGGCGACAAGGACACACTGAGCGCAGCGTCCGTCATGCGACTGTTGCTGCGAGTATCCACCACCATGTACCGAGGGGAAGCTGCTGCTTGGGCTGCGCTTTGCCAACTGATTGACTCAGATATCCGCAGATCTTGATGGAGAGCCACTCGAAATTCGAAACGGGGATGCGTTTTTATGCGATTTCGCAGGATGGAATCATATGACCTAAAGTCCACTTACTAAAGAGTCGTAGAACGAATGAAAAGTGATATGCATCTCGCTCTGAATAGACAGGGAAACCAGAGAATACAGTTTTCAACTGACGGATACAGAGTGGCAATGCTGCTGGAAACATTATGCAAGTTGGTGTGTGGCTTCCTTTGCTGTTGGTGGGCGTCTTGCGTTGCGCTTGTCGCGGGCTCCTCATCGTCATTCAGTGCTTCTCGACTGTCTCTACGTACCACGTTCCCTCGCGTTGGGGACTATGGCAACGTAAACTCAGTGGCATCCGACTTGTAGTAAGGCGAGAGCTCTTCGAATAAGGCGATGCTAATTAGTATATAGGCATAGTTTCTCTCTCTCCCTCTCTTCAGATAGGAAGTCCGCAGCTCAGTATGGATAGCATACAACTTGCTGCTCGCTCCGCCGTGATGTGAATCGATGGTGGACCGGATCTTACACCTGTTACACGTATATGCTCTTGGCTGGCTGGTTGACTTGCTTCCTTAGAATCACGGACGCCGCGGCAATTTTGGTAGCCAGCTCTTCGTTTGCTTTAACCTGCGTGGAATGGGAGCTAGCTCCGGCCAAAACTATGAATCAACACAAGTGTGACTGCAAACAGACCACTGATCGACATCTTGGGGTAATGTTACCATCGGAAGGAGTGCGTCTAGAACTCACAACTCTTTTGTCCTAAAAGCAGACAAAAAGATAGCATACTTTATGTATTTCAATTCACTGACTGCTCTAGTCTAGTTAGTCTGTTTTCAACTTTGGCCCATAAACGATAAGGGGATTGTACGTCGGGCCGTGAAAGAACTCGTAGAACCTCAGGTAGTTGACGTAGATGCGATAGTTCTTGTCGCCTATGCCTGTCGTCGAGATAACGTTCAGCTTGTAGTACATCATCTCTGGAGTTCGCTTGTTCGCAGCCCATACAAGGAATCGGAAATACCAGAACGGTGTCCGGAAATATTTGTCGAATTTTTCCTTGGCTTTCGTGTAATACTTCAGTACTTTTGCCCACCATTCCTTCTCGCCTCCTTCACCTCTTCCATGGGTGTAAATAGTTTCATCTTTTGTCACAAGTCTCTTGAGTGCTATTCGCACGCTCGCGGGTATGATCTCCCTCGCCTCGTCATTCGCAGTTGTAGCATCGCTTCGCAGATATCTCTTTTGACGTTCATGGCCGCCTTGAGTTGATAATAGACCATCGATCGGCGCAACCATGGCAGTGCTCGTTCGGTCAGCACCCATAGTGGCGGAGCTAGCGTCGCAGCTCGCTAGAAGGAGGGCTGTTATCACCAACAGGAGGCTCACGCAGTCTACGAGGCGCATTGCGGCTCGTGTAGCTTCTGACAACACGCGCTACTTCTTTCGTGGTGAGCGGACTGTCAGACGTGCGCAAGAAAATGATACTGCGCGAATCGCAGTCTGTGGAACTCGCGCACAACTCTTGTCATTCTGAATCATGACTTGATCGCAGAAAATTTTTCTGAAAATGGCTTCCTAGCTCCTTGGATTGTCATAGTGGTCGTGGTGTCCAATCACCCGCCGGCGTTTGAGTGTGTCTTCCAGTCGAACCTATCTCAAGATTTAGATTGCATTTTAGTAAGTATATGCCGCTCAAAGCCGTGTTCCTGGATAGGTTTAGCGACCATCTGGTGAAATATACCACGATTGTCTTGTAGTATAATTTATACTGTATAAAAACTAATGCCGTGCCGTGCCCGGAGAAGCTCTGAATATTTGCGTATTAGCGTTTAGTTTAACTACTGTAGTTTATTTGACGTGACCAGTGGACGTAAGTTTGTTGCTGAGCAAGGCGGCCGAGGGCAACTTGCCACTTCTAAGTGAAAATCAATTTTTCAGCCAATCAAGCTTCGGTATAAGGAATGTTGTGCGAAGGTCGCTTTTCACCGACTGGGTCAACATTCGCTGATTTTGAATAAACGTAAGACGGGTTATAAAGTTTTCCGTTTTATAATTTGAATTTTCCTAATCTACGCTAAGTTCGAAGGTCTGATGGGTACGCTTTATTTATTTATATAGGATCTTCGACGGTCCGCGATTGCCCCTAAAACTCTGAATATAAATATTCAGAGAATTCATGTACCACTCTCCTGGATAGCTTTAGTGACCCGGCCGACACAAAAGTCCGGCAGACATAGTTGTGCAATTCACAATCATTACTGTTCAGCCAATCTAATACGTTTATTTGACTTGGTCTTTGTATTCCAAATGCTTATGAGTATTTACTGTCATTTTGTGAAATTTTATGGTCCATTTAGTGTGTTAAATATCTTGTGACACCGTCGTAAATTTACTATGGAGGATGGCATTCAGTGGTGCCGGATTTATCTGTCGTTGTCTGTACAGTACACAGAACAATGCGGAGTTATCATAAATCAGTAGGCAAGTGGGAGCATTAATTCTGTAATCATTGACCTCTTCGGTTCGCTTATTGAGCTATTATCATGGTGTCGGGAATGCAGCATCATACGGGGATTGTGTTGCTCCCACCAAAAGGGATATTTATCAAGAGAATGATACAACGAGCGATCAATTTATCAGAAGAAGATACAAAAAATCTGATTGGCCAGGATAAAATGCGCTTCATTCATTCATAAAAAACCTTGGGGAATATCATAAAACAGCAGGAACAGGAAGACAGAGAACTATTGTCGACGCGTGGCCCCAACGACGTCAGGCGCGCAGTTCACCACCACGCACACAACATGTGCATCGTGGTAGTTTGTACACTGCACCAGTTACAGACGGAGAGATTTCCGTGGGCGGTTTGAGGTGTAGATCGACTTCTCGAGGGTCAAGTTTGGCCAATAGTGCTCTTACTCCGCTCACATACAGAGGTACGCGCCAAATCTGCATCACTATGTTGTCAACACTAATCTCTCGTACACGATACTGCATTAAAATAAGTATTATGTGATACTGACAGCTTTGGATTGAAGAATTTTATTGCACCCTCAGACATGGCATTCACTACCCAGCGTTGCTGCTAAATGCACACTCCTCTCATAACGGTTTATTGCTATTTGATTAAATAGTGAGCTCTAATAACAAAATTTCAATATGAGAAAGGTGTTATTGTTCTCGGCTCGTTCTTGCTCGACGGCCATTCGTTCAAAGATTCTCCAGCTACTACTCAAGGATGCTTTTGATACTACTGAGCTAGTAACAGTCTGAGGTGTGGTAATAAAGCCCGGTGCTGCGAAGACGAGGGAGAAAGCCATCGAAAGGGGGAGCTGGAGATGGCACTTTTCTTACTAGAACTTACTCGGTACGTGCTCGGCTACTAATGACTCGTTGCGTTCCAGCTAACAACTTCTAACCTCTTGGTGGGATATGAGGTGGTGGAGGATATATTGCAGCGTGTGCAGGGTCTTTCAAGGTAATCGTTCACACCGGTTCACACTGGTTGCCGTCTCTTACAATACTCCGTGTTGTTATACGTTCCTTCAGGATATTGAAGATAATATTTTCACAATGCCGGCACCAATTATTTTTCATACTATGTGTATACTTCGTTGATCACTTGTAGGTTTTGATCTCTCTTTCATATTCTGCGCTTCTTCCACAGGTAGTGAATAGACATTCTCCAACAATGTAAATACCTGGCGCGATTCTTACCCCAGCTTTCTCTATCTCCATCAGTGGTGTCGTGCAGTTCCTCACGTTATGACCGGCTTCTTGACAGCGGCTGCATGTGTACGTTTCCCGTTTGCTTCTCCTCGCGCCCTTTACTTGCGAGTTGAAAAACTCTGCAATTGTCTTGCTATCATCATCGCTGTGTACATCACTAGGCACACACTGACGAACTATTCGAGCAGATGACCCAGCGCATTCACCTCGGTTTGGCGTTCTTCTTTTACCAGTTGCAAAGTCTCTGCCTTCTTTCGAACGCTTGCGTGATTGTCCAGCTTGGCGATGTAACGGTGGGGGCTTGACTTCGTTTGTCTGCTAAAGTTCCTCGCACAGAGGAAGACCGATAGCAGTGGAGTCAAAGGTCTCTACCATTATCGACACAGTGTAAGCTTCATGGAAGTAGTGCTTGATATCATAGGCCGGAAGTCCACTGTTTTTCTGCTTTGATCTCCACAAGCGGCTGCCTGCATGTGACGGCAAGGGACTTGCATTTGCTCAGCAACTGTGCATCGGGTGCAAGTTCAACAGTCCATGTTAACTTCGCAGAGATGTGCGTCCCCACCTAGACCGCGGCTATCGAAGGTGCCAAAAACGTAGAAGAGAGACTCGTCTTCCTGCACTATTGTCTGGCGAGCTACCATTTCTTTCTCCATTTCGAACTCCTTCAGAGCGTGAGTAGTGATATCACGACTTGCACTATTCCACTCCTAGACGAGCTCCTTAAGCTTTTGCAAAACTTTGAGCGCTCGTGTACAGTACGCCATGACTGAACCTAGCACAAGTTGTGTCCGCACACGTCCCCATAGTAGCCCGTTGTTCTCTCCTTGGACAGCACTCGTAGTGCGGATACCAAACAGAGGCAAAGCGTCGCTGTGCTTTGAGATAGACGACCAGTTATCCTCTATCCACTTTGTTTCCTCTGCTGTTGCCTTCATATTACCGACAACACTCCAATCTGTGGGATGAATACTGCAAAGGTAGCTCCAAACGTGCTCCTCGACGACTTTCTCCGCGACAACCTTTGAAATTCCGGCAGGATACTTGGATGCTATCTTAGCTTTGATGAGCTCATACCCTTCGGTTGTTGAAGCGCCTTGAAGCGAAAAAATATCGTCGTTTACAGACTTCAAGTTTAATTTCAGAGGCTTGAACTTGTCCATGGTGTTAAACCTGATATGCAGTGTGCAGAACTTCAAGTGTATTTTCATGTTGATGCAAAGCAACAAGACTTGAGCTGCTAGCTGTTTTCCTCTGTCGCAAACGCAAGCAGAATGTTCATCTTTATACCAGCGACAATACAGTTTCCGAAAAACCAGGCAAAGTTGTCGATGGTCTCTTTGTGAATGTAGGCCACGGCAATAGGTACATTTTGCTTGTTCCCGTCCTTACAAATGCCATCGTACGACAGATCCTTCATGTTCGTGCCATCGCACTCCCAAACAGGTAAAAGTGCGTCTTGCACATTCACAGCACTACCAATAGATGAGAAGGCCCTATAAAACCTCCCCTCTGAGTCCAACTGACAGCAAACCCGTGACCCAGGGTTTTCCGTGCAAACTCGCGTAGAAAACTGGGAAGGCGTCCGTACTCAGCTACCGGGTCAATTTGGTTTTTATTTTTTGCTTGTATAATGGTACGGTAGGCCATTGTAGGTTGCTTGGAAATGTCGATACTGTGAATTTCACTCATTGTCTTTACTACCCGCGCTAGTGAAGTGCTATGACCAGGAAGAATAGCTCCACGAAAACCAGCATGCTCCAGCAGAAACTCAGTAGTCATTACAGCGATCCCAGGGCAAAGTTGTGAGTGGCTCAGCTCCATTTTAGAGATATACCATGATCCACTTGGAATATGTGAGAGTTTAGTTGTAGGCTTTTTCCGCCGCTGTATGGTCGCTTTTTAAGTAATTTTAGATCGACGTTTGCGTGACAAAGTTATGAACCAGTTACAACCTCTTTTGTGCTCAGAACACAGTCATTTTACGTGAGCTCCGCCACCTCCTTTTTTCCTCTCGACACTTTTACTCATGTTAAAGGCGTAGTGCTTGATAAAAGAACCTGCCGTCTCCAAACACACAAAGGGTATGCGCTGCTCAGGTTCTGCATATCCAAAGTGAGATTTCAAATCAAACTTGTGCGCCTTACCCTCTGAGGAACTCATCCTAACCGGCGAAAGCTTATGCCTGCAGTCGTTGGCTTGTGATAGAAGCCTTCTACCAACCTTCGTACTAACGACAGGTTTATACTGGAATACCTCAGAATGAGTACCCAAACAGGATTAATTTTAACTAGTGCAAATTTAGAGAGACCCCGCCATTTTATTCTGACCAATCAGATTCTTTGTATCTGCTTCTGATAAATTGGTCGCTCGTTGTATCATTCTCCTGATAAATATCCCCACCAAAAGTGACACAAAATGATAGGATCAAATTAATGGGTACAGTGTGATGGCGTCCTTAATTTACTTGAAACTGTCTGCTGTAACATATTTCATTATAGGTACCACGCGAGTCCACCAATGGCATTGCTTAAAAAAAACAGTTGTTGTCCAGCGGATTCATAGAGAGGAGGGCAAAACACTGTAGCTAAATATGTACGTTATAAACTTCAATTTTTTTAAAAAAATACTTGGCGATCATTTAAAAGTGCGCACCTAAAAGTGCTAATTCTTTGCCTTGTGGTGTTTGGTAAATTTTTGGTTTGATCACCGAAAGTATGAATATATATATTAAATAAAAGATTCCAGTTGCCTTCTCGTCACCTTCGGCCATGATGCTTATTTGACGCTCTAGAGCTTCCACTTTGTACAAATAGCGCATGCGCAAGTAGTCCAACACATCATAAAGGGAGTCGTTCCAGAAGTCGCTCCAGCTTTGAAGAGTAGCCCCAAACAGCTGCAGCTCTAACACAACAAGACACCACACGCCACACGACGAATTGTCCTTCTGAAAACAGCCAGTAACGACTTCGTAGGAAAGTCTGTCCTCGATTCCGAGCATGGGCTCGACAATAGCACCCACTGCACTCTTCAGTTGCGACAGGTTGCTCTTCAGTTGCATGTGGTCAAACAGGTAGCAGGTAGTCGTGTCGAGGTTCACGAAGAATGCCCTCCCCCCCCAGTAATATCTAAGTTGCTCGCACTGATTACCTTCTTGATTCCGGGGACTGCAGCCCTGTATCCTTTTGCCGTTCTCATCTTTTGGTCTGGGTGGTCAAAGTCGTGGAATCTTGGGTTTACAATGCTGACTGCTTTGTACGACTCACGCAAAGCAAGGAGTCCGCCAATAATTGACCTTGAGTGTAGCCATAAGGTCTCGCGAAAGTCTAGGAACTCAGTGCCATACTGAGCATGTGCTGCCAGCAGACCGACCATCATCTTCTTAGTCAGGGTCAGATGTATTGTTCGAGACGCTCGCTTCGTCTTCTTCGTCAAGCTGCTCCAGTATTTGTTCCAGAACCGTTTGACGGTGAGTGTCGTCACCAGATTCTTCATCATCAGACTGAAGACATCGCAGCAAGCTTGCTTCCCAACGCTCGTCGTCGGCACGACGGTTTCGAGCCGGCTCATCGCTTAGTATGATTGGTTTGTAATCTGGAAACCGATCTCCATATACCTCACGTAACCCACGATACGGCTGTGCGGTCAACCGCTTCCCGCTATGAACAACTTGCTGGAGTGGAGGGAGTCGACTCACTGGAGCGTGCAAGTGTGGCTGTTGCCCTCACTTCTGCCGTCGCATCATTTCGCGTTGAGTCTCCGCCTCTTGCTGGCGGGACGCTAAGCCGGGATGCGGCACCGGTAGCTCACTGTCTGCAATTAAACAATCTAGAAAAGCATATTTCTTTTTGTCATTTGAACCCGAGCTTTGTGTGCTATTGTCAACCAAAATATTTCAGTAATGCAGAGGAACTTACATC